CCCCAAAACCCCAAAACCCCAAAACCCCAAAACCCCAAAACCCCTTTATTTATCACAAAAATTGGAGATATAATATTAATTTAAATACCTAGGAAAATGAACTCAAGATTCACCATGAATCTGTTAATCATGGCTCTTGTACTCTTATTGACAACTGAGTGCCAATCAAGGTAAGAATTTGGCTCATTCTTGACTTTAATCATACTTCTTGAAAATTCAAGCTAAACTCCAAATTTTGCATAATTTCTTTTCCTAAAATCTATTGCATTCTTTACAAATTGAAACTAAGGATCCCTATAGATATGCTGGAGTCTCTTCATTCGAGTCAGAAGTGATCAAAGAATTTGATAACATTTTAACTATTGAGCCCACTATTAAGAGGCTTTTGGACCTAAAGCCAACCATAGAAGAGATTAGGTCCAGCAATCAGGTGAATGAAAGACCTGTAATTGGTATCTTTACTCAGCCCTACAATGACACTAGCGACTATATCATGGCTGCTTATGTTAAGTTCGTCGAAGCTTCTGGAGCAAGAGCAATCCCAATTGTCTGGAGAGACTCTGATGAGGATATTCTGAAATTAGTACCAAAAATGAATGGTGTTCTCTTCCCTGGAGGAGGTACTTCCTTAAAGAATAAAGACGGATCTCTCACTGAATATTCCAGAAAAGGAGAACTCGTACTCAATAAAGTCAAAGAATTAAACGATCAAGGAATTTATTATCCAATTTTGGCAATCTGTTTAGGATTCCAAGAAGTTAGTCAGATCGAGGCTCCATATGTTGACACCTTGGAGACATACTATTTTGATGCAGATGATATCTCAAACAATGTGACGCTAAAATCAACAATATCCGAATCTAAACTGTTCAATGAAATGCCTCAACATTTGATCACTGCAATCGAACAAGAAAACATCACCTACAATCATCACCACGACGGAGTTCTCCCATCGGCTTGGAACAACCACGCCGAGCTCAGAGACGCATATCACCTTCTCGGAGTATCCTACGATGAAAAAGACATCGAATACGTTGCCTTTGTCGAGAGCAAGAACTATCCAATCTGGGGTCTCCAATTCCACCCAGAGAAGAACATCTTCATCTGGAAGCCCGACCTACACGTACCACATTCGCCCACTGCTATCGAGCTAAGCCAGTTCTTATCAAACTTCTTCATCAGAGAAGCTAGGAAGAACTTCAACCAGTTTGACTCAGACCAGGACGCCTTCGACCATATGATCGAACACATTGCTGTTGACTTAACCACTGCTGCTGCCCAGGACATTTATGTGTTTGATATTAACAACCATTCTTAGATGTCTGATAGCTTGTTATTCCCTAATATCACCTTCTTTATTATATCAACGTACTTCAGGCTAAAGGGGTTTTGGGGTTTTGGGGTTTTGGGGTTTTGGGG